GTCGTTGTTCAGCTAGAGAACATCTCCTACCTTCCTAATACTGGGTTGTCGGAGAAGTCATGACACATTTTTGCAAAGGAAAACAGAAAAACGTCATGACTTTTCTGACAACCCAATAGTTAGATTGGCTGTGTCTCTAAACTGGTCAATGGAATGAGTAGAAAAGATGTGTGCCACTCTGGGACACTCTTTTTTGAGAGTTTTTTTTTCGCTATAGGGCGCGTGCGCTTGCCAGACAGAGAGAGACATAGAGACAGAACGCGAGAAATCACCCCCCAGGGGGGATGGTCACGCTGCAATCCCTTCTCCTCCATTCTCCTCTCAGGATCTTGGGCACGCACGCACACGCACACGCACCCGGCGTGAGTTCTAAGCCACCGGGTCTGGGACGTGAACCGTGGTTGACTACGTGGGAACCCAGCGACATAGCTGTTATGCTAACTGCTGGTTCCCACTCTGGGACACTCTTAAGAGTACAGATGTGCACCTCTTTTCATCCTGCTGGGCTAAGATACAGACATGATGGCTGGTGCTAGACTGGCCACTCTGGACCTAGGGACAAAGTCTGTGTATGAGGATAGCACAGTTGCCCTGCTAGTCATGGGCTACCTACCTTGAACCCTTATGGAAGGGAAAAAGGAAAACAAAAACAGGGACCATCTATCTCATTCATATTTTTGGGTCCCTGTTAAAACAACCTAATCTGTATCCTTTCTAAAAACCTCAGCCTAGTTTTGAAGAACTGAATGACCCCATCTCAAGGGATTAGGCAAAGCAAGCAATTTTTGAACAAATGAAAAAGTCTGCTAATCTAAGTCAGGGTTCTGGAGCACAGAGTGGGATCATATCAATACGTAACTGTTGAACACTTAATGTGAGCCTATTTTGTATGAAACATTATGGAAGAAAAGATACGGTCGTGTGCAGTGGGGGGACTATTTCAAGATTATAACATAAGAAAAATAAACTACTTTGTTAAACTGATGTAGTTTGGGTTTCGTATACCAAAGAGGATGCTTGAATAGCATTCTAAAGAATATAAAAAGAGACCAGCAGTTAGCGTAATGGCTATGTCGCTGGACTCCCATGTAGTCGACTGCGATTTGAGTCCCGGACCCGGTGGCTTAAAACTCAGGCCAGGCGCGTGCGCGTGGGTGCCCAAGATCCCAAGAGGAGAGTGGAGGAGAAGGGATTGTGGCATGGCCATCCTCCCTGGGGGGTGATTTCTCGCTTTCTGTCTTTCTGTCTCTCTTAGTCTGTCTGGCACCCCCTATAGAAAAAAAAAAAAAAAAAAAAAAAAGAATATAAATAGTGGGGCCAGCAGGTGGCATGGTGGTTAAGGTGCTGGACTCTCATGTGGTCAACTATGGTTCAAGTCCTGGACCCAGTGGCTTGAAAATCATGCTGGACATGTGTGTGCCTAAAATCCTGAGAGGATAATGGAGAAAGGATTGTGGCATGACTATGGGGGAGGGGAGGGAGCTGATTTCTCATTTTCCCTCTCTTTGTATCCCTCCTTTCCAGTGAGCACGTGTGCATACACACACCTTATAACCAAAAAAAAAGTTAAAAAAAAGGAGAAAGATTATAAATGTTTAGAATTTGTTGGAAAGCAGGGACTAGGGGGAGTCATGTCCATAAACATTAACAGACCATTTTTTTTTCCCATTTAATAGGATTCTTCCTGCATCCTGTCCCTGGTATAGTATCTTTGAGATGTATATTAAACTGATTATAGTATATTCTTTTACTAACCTCTTTCCAAGACACAGAATTTTCCTTTTTCCTGAGATGTAGATTAAGCTTTTTTTTTTGGAGAGGGTTGTGCTATAGGGCACATGTGCTTCCCAGAAAGACAGAGAGAGACAGAGAGACAGAAAGCGAGAACTCACCCCCCGGGGGGATGGTGATGCTGCAATCCCTTCTCCATTCTCCTCTTGGGATCTTGGGCATGCATGCACACACGCCTAGCGTGAGTTTAAGCCACCGGGTCCGGGACTCGAACTGCAGTTGGCTACATGGGAGTTCAGCGACATAACCATTACGCTAACTTCTGGTCCCTAAGCATTTCTTTACGAATCTCGTCCCAGGACACAGCTCTTCCCTTCCAATCACCAATCTAGGAATTGTGGAACCCACCTATAACCTACAAGTGCACCCCCTCCCCCGCCCACATGTTCTGCCTCTTTGGGCCAGACCAATGGAAATCTCTTAACTAATTTTGTCTGTCAATCTCAAAATCAAATAAAAGGAACCCCTGTCTGTAATCATCCCGAGAAAGGCATGTATGCCTCCTCTCCGGGCCTTGGTCACTCATATTTTGCTTGGAAATAAACTGCATTATTAATTATATATATAAAAAAAAGAATGTGTTGGAAAGCCAGAGCATAATTGTAAAAAACAAAAACAAAAACAAAAACAAAACAGCATGTCAGTTATGGCATACAGACTCCTCCTTCCAGAAAAAAGAGCATCTTAGTGTGGAGAAGCTTGAAAGGGATTAGGTGGAGCAGTTTGAAAAAGGACATCCTATTAGTAAAAATAGCATCACTGTGGGCAGGAATATTTCTTTCTCAGAAAACAAAACAAAATAAAACTCAATGTAATTTTTCTTGCAATTATTATGGTAAATAAGAAGCCTCAGTTTTGCGAAAACAGGCTCTAAAATAAGGTAGACTATACATTTTCTTGGGAAAAAAAGTTCCCTTTTTATAATTATAAAGTAACAGTTATTGGAATATTTGAAAACACTGTAACAATGTAGAACATTCAAAAAAAAATTTAAACTTCAGTAGGAGAATCCCACTACCTTGATCAACAAAATTGTTAACATAGTTTTAATTTTTTCTAGTTTGTCTTTTGGTGGGTGTGCCAGTGAGGTATATTTGGATTTTTACATATACATAAACTACATATATACACATACATATGAATGCTATAGCTGTACTTGAAAAAAAATCATTTGGCAAAACTTTTTTATTTTATTATTATTATTTTTTTTACTAGAGGGGTATGTGCCCTTGCCAGTGAGAGACAGAGAGGAAAAATGAGAAAGCACCTTCTAGGGCTGGCTGGTGGTGTGGTAGTTAAGGAGGCTGGAGCCCACAAGGCAGACTTCGTGGAAGAGTCCTGGACCCAGAGGCTTGAAAAACACCCCAGGCGCCCACACCCAAAATCCTTAGAGGAGTATGGAGAAGAGGGGATCGTGGCATGGCCATGCCCCTCACAGGCAATTTCTCACTTTCTCTCTCCAGCATGTGCCTACAACCAACCTATAGTAAAAAGAAAAGAAACAAAGAAGGCATTGTCTATGAGGAACAGTCACACTGCAATCCCTTCTCTCCCATTAAGCATTGTCTATGGGGGACAGTCACACTGCAATCCCTTCTCTCCCATTCTTATCTCCTTTTCAAATTTTGGGCACTGGGTCTGAATTCAAACTGAGCAGTTGGTGACATCCAGCACACTAACCACCAGGCCATGGGCTGGCCAATAAATACTTCTTAACATTAAAGTCTGTATTTCTTGGTTGTAGATTATTGCTAGCATGTTAAACCTCATACAATCAGCTACAAACCACAAAAAAACAACAAAACCCCCAAAAAACCCAAATTGGTCTGTATTAAAAGGCACTAATTTCATAGAAATACAAAAAACTTTCCTTTGACAGAAAACTTGACTTTTTTCAAATGTTTCACAGTGAGGAGACCCTCATAAGTCTACAAGGGACACCTTGGGCTGTATTTAGGAAAAGCCTTTAGAAACTACTTTGCATAATCTCAGAGCAAAAACAATCAAAAGAAAGACTAGGTTGGATTCTGCCCAGGGAAGTCTATATTACAAAATAAACACTTTTATCTGTTTGATGTTTTATGCCTGGTAATATTCTGCATGAAAGGGGTAATCGTTCTGTGCTTCTTACATTACAGTCCAGACCACAGGAAAGCATGGGGTAACTGAACCCAGGCTGGAGGCTGGATCCAACCTTCTCATTTCTGCGGGTGCTAATCTGCAAGTTCCTTCCTCATCTGAGATGATCCGCCCATTCTGGCAGAAGAACACTATGTAAAACCAAAACTCCACATATGGAACCAAGTCACTCATCTGGCTCCAACAATCTTACTTCAAGTTGAAAATCTGTCACAGCAACTAATGTTACCTCCTATGATACGGAAAAAAAAAAAAAAACAAAAAGGCTGTAACAGCGCCAGTAACTTCACCTCAACTGCTTGACTGGTGATATTAGTGCTTTGTTCCTCTATTTTTTCCCTCCTGTAAAACTGGTTGAAAACAAATTAATGTGTTTGTATATATGAACATCCGGGTTTGTGTGTTTATAAAACTAATACAGTATACATTTTCCCTCCTCTGGGGTTTTTGAGAATTGTGCTTAGTTTTCACTTTGGATAAACACGAACCAATGTGATGGTTGTCATTATAATAGCTCCAATGCAAACGGACATATATTCCAGCTGTCTGGAAGGGAAAGCCCCTTATACCTTACTGGGCATCCTTGAAACGGCACCAAGCTTTAAAATCAAGAGTACCATTAGGCAGCTAAGCATTACTTTTTGGCCCCTCCCGCTTCACGTACTCGGTGCGGCCATTAGTACACTTGTCCTGAGCCCGAGAACTTTGTCCCTAAGGAGAGAGCCGGAAAAACCCGCTGGGTGCCTCGCTGGACCGCAAACCCCTTCGGGGAAAGAACACGCCCTGGGAGACAGTGGGTCGGACCCAGCCTTAGGCAACCTGGGTTCCGGGGCGGCGGCCGACCAGTCTGTAGCGCCCGCACCCCGCGCCTGCCCGCCGGTCCCGCCGCCCGGCTCCCCCCGCCGGCGCTGCACGCGC